GGCTCGGCGGGTTCCGTGAACTTCCCGTGGCATCATTCACTCGCCGATCCGCTTTGGCTCGCGAGGTTTCAGTCCTCGAAGCTGCAGAGAAAAGAGCTGCCCGGCCGCGGCAAGGGCATCGTGGCCCAGGCGCGAGAGGGCCGGAGAAAAGGAGCAGTGGCTGCGGGGAGGAGCGGAGCGGTGCGGTTGGGTGATGGCTGGCAGCCAAGACCCCTAAGCAAGTATACCCTGAAGAAGTCCATGGGGTAACAAGGGGGTTTCGAAGAGGGTGAAAGGCTTCCTGTGCGGAAAACTTTCAGAGCTCCCCTGGAGGTCTAGGAGCCGAATTTGGGTTTGGTGTTTGCGAGGCTATGGAACTGTGTGCTTTTGAGTGAAGGATCAAGCCACTGAAAACCTGCACCAGTACACGCCCTCCGTGAAGAGGGGACGTTTCTGTTGAGCCGGAAAGCGCGGTGAACAGCCGGAAAGTCCCCGTGTTTCTTCTGGATTGGTTGCGATCCAAGCCGCATAGCGCCGTTCTGCTGGTGCGCACAGGCAAGGCAAAAGCCTGGTCGTAGGCACACATGCGCGTGAGCACATCGCTGTAGAAATTATCAGTTGCGCAATGCGAATCAACCTTTTGACCTTTTAGTTTCCCCTTTTTGGATTTTATGTCATGGCCTTGGCCCCAAAAGGTTAACCTTGTATTTCTGGGTCCTTTGGGCAGCTGAGACTTCGTTTAAAAAAACAATCTGTCTCCCTGCAAGCTGGCCCAGTTTGAGACCCTTCGCAACAGGTCTTTCCAAACGCCCCGCATCGATCACCTTTTCGAGGCGGACATCGGGGTGGGGGAGCTGCTGATCGCAGCGCGACCCATCGAGTTGGTGCGGCCCGGGGACGGAGATTGGCACTTCCAGGCGGATCTGGAGGCGCGGGGTGGCTCTCTTCTAAGGGTTGATTCCCCATTCTTTCCGACCATCGTGCTTTTCGAAAACCGGACGTTTTCATGGGTTTCCGGAGGTTTTCTGGAAAGACGGATCCCTGGCAAGAAAGGGGAAGGTAGCACTAGATCTCTATGTGAACCCGCCAGCCCATGCACTTCCCGCGTTCCGTTTCGGACTTGAACAACTTTTTGGGTCTGGACCATTTCAGGTGCAAACAACAAGTTCTGACTTTTATTGGCCAGTCCACTCAGGAAGTGAGTAGTCGTTTGTAGTTGGTGAAAGGTAGCTGGGTGTTCCCTTACAACCCATTATAAAGTAATGACACGTTTAGCAGGACAGCCCAGTACTCTGATACCTTAAGGATATTTGTTGTTTTCCCATGATGTATCTATCACTGGATTTATTGTGGGTGAGTGTTCCCTTTCAAAACTCAATCACACAGTTAGAACATTTTAACTGGGGCTGAACCATTTTAGACTTTTCTATGCCATCAAGGGATCCCCTTCAACATGAATAGTACGGGTGTCCCCGCTTCACCTGCTTCCTCTTCACCTTTTTGTGAAGACCATTTCGGTGAGAAATGTCAAACGTGTGACTTGTGGGCCAATCTACACAGTCACACAAAATTTCCGGTCCATTGAAAAAAATATGTCCAGACAAAATTGCTTTTGGAGCCGGTGCCCTTCATAGAGCACTTGGGTAATGTTGAGGATGTTTGATGGACCCACTCGGTCCATTCTTTTCTGGTCGGGGCTCTTCTTTGCATGGAGCTCGCATCACCCAAGGGTTTGGCTTTCGTCTCATGCTGCCTCTCCGAGAGGATCCAGCCTTGCATTGTGACAGACAAGCTCAAGGATTACGAAAGCAGCGAAAGCAGTGTAACTCAACTCAATAATTGAGCTTCGCAGGCATTCGCGTAGGCTTTCAAGGCATTTTGGGTACGTACACCTTTTCTGGCAGCCAGATCCTTGGACAGATGCGGGCTTCTCACTTGTACTGCAATTCTGATCTTAGAGCCGGAGTTGCCAAAACTGCACTTGTACTGAAAAGTTGCGATTTTCCAGCTGGAGCTGCCACAGTGCACTTCGACACTCGAACTCAACATTTGCCCGCGTAGGCATTCGCGTAGGCACCTGGAAGCTGACTTGTTCTCGCGTAGGCACCCCTCGCAGGCCGCGTAGGTTTGCGTAGGCCTTCGCGTAGGCATGCAAGTAGTGTATAGGCCTCGAACCACCAAAAAAAACACTGCTCAATTCTCTGTTCCCGTTGTTTGGAACATTGGACTCAAAAGCTTCCTCCTTCCTATGCTGTCTCTTACTGCCTCCGGCAGCCGCCAGGAAGTTTTGACCCAGCGCTTGTTGCAGCGGTGCATGGACTGCGATGCCCAGTGTGTGGAAGATGTTTTCAGCCTCTTCGACGGTGAGGCCGGGGACGAAGCGGAAAGACGACCGGAGCGGCGCGCGCGCGTTGTGCGTTGTGCCCGAACAAACATGAGAACTTGAAGAGGCTGGGTACGTCAGGTAAGTGGTTAATAAGTCTGGTGCAATAACCACAAAAGCAATAGTTATGGGTCTCCGTGCAGAGGGTCATGTCACCAGGCTTACTAGCCACTTCCTAAGTACAAGGCCCCTTTAAGTTCGGCTCCATCTGTGGAACCATGCCTCCAAAGTGTGGAACCCAGTTGCCCCCTATGTGGATCCCTCAGTTGGGGGTGTTTTTAAAAAAATGGGGCCGGCAGGCGTACCTGCCTCTGTTGGTATCGCAAGCGTCGTTTCCCCATCGGTCTGTGGTCCATGTTTTCAAGGACAAAAAAGGGGACGAGCTCTAAATTTCCTCACGGGACAAGCCTGCCCATACGAAACCCAGGGAGTGGGGGAGTTTTCTGTCTGAGGCAAAGTCTTCGGGCGCGAAAAAGGGTTCAAGGTAATTACATCCAACTTGGGTGAAACATGTAGGGGGTTCTTAAGATGGTCTGAAACAAAAACAGAGCTACTCTCTAGGGGTTTGTGAACCACTTTTCTACGGGCCAAGATCTGGCCTTGCGATGGCTTTCCGTCCGAGCTTCATTCTTTGGCACCCCCCTGTGTCTGACACACCTGCGCCCCTTTTCCACCTTCCCATTAAGAAAAAGAAACACCGCACCCGAAACCTCCATCCCCCCCCCTCCCAAACCAGCCCCAACACCCACGAAAACCGCACCTCCAAAATCGCCCACCCCCCACCTGCCCCATCAAACCTCCCAAACCACCACCCAAAAACCCACCCCACCTCCCACAGCAGCCCCAAAACCCACCTCCAAAAGTCACCCCCCCCCCTCTTCCCCAAAACCCCCCCTCCCGGCCACCGGCCAATCCCAGGGCTCAGAGCGCCCCAAGTGGAACCCCCACGCCTGGCGCTCCAACGACCTGGCGCTGCCCATGCCCATCGGCGCGGGGAACCTGGAGCTCTACCGCCGCCTCCGGGGCGCGGAGCTCAGAACCGGAGCACCGATCGCGATCGCGAAAGGGACAACGAGCCGGATGAAAGGATTCCACTGGTTTCACTGGTGCAAATGGATGGAATGAACCCAGGTGTGGGTACAAGTTGGGTTTGCTTGGGGTTGGTTACAAGTTGGGTTCCACTGGTTTAGGTTTGCCTGTTTAGAAGATGGCCGAGATATTTTTTTGGCTGAGAGCTACAAGAAAAACATGCATCGGTTGACACATTGTGTAAAGCACTTCCCCCCCTAGCAACTGCGTTGCGAGGACGGACAACTTAAGACAAACATTGTTTCAGGAACACCCGTCCAATTTGCTGCGATTGTCAAGTAAACAAAAAGTATTTAAGGAACGCTTGATTGTCCAGGAAACCCACACAAGAAACAACTCATGAAATGCATTTTGAGGGAACCCCCTCCAAATGTTGTGCTTGCAGGAACACGCGTCTGATGTTTTCACCCCTCCACATTCTGAGTTTAAAGGGGCACCCCTTTGCATGCCTTTTTCAAAGAAGCCCGTTTCTTGATTTTTACACACGGACACTTGTCCAATCAACAGTTGCATTAGCGTAAGCAGCCAACATCACCATACACACAAGAAGTGGCATACACACAAGAAGTGGCATACACACAAGAAGTGGCATACACACAAGAAGTGGTTTCCCGAGGAAAAGGGCTTCTTCAAAGAATCAGCTGGGCTACCGGGCCGGAATGCGGGGAACTGAAACAACGGGTTCGCAACCCATTGAGTTCATAACATGCGCATGGCCGAAGGTGAAAGCATGCAGGTCAACATTGCCGACCGAAACACTTGCCGGTGGCCTTGCAATTGAAGGGGTCCTACCCTGACCTGCATCAGAGCACTAAATCTGGCCCCAAGCGGCAACTTGAGACGTGTGGTAGTTGGTTGTTTCCCCCTCTTTGCCACTGGCCGTGCATGTGCCAAGGAGTTGTCAAGCACAATGCCCGGCTGCTCAGCATTCTGCGGATCCTCTTGTTTGCATTGTTTAAATATTGATACTGGTGCAGATGCATGGCAATGGACATCCCCTTACTTAGCAGTTATATTGCTGGTTAGAGGGCCACAGGGGACACAAGGGCCGGCTTCCTTTTTGGGGATGCACGACCACTGTAGAGGACCCCGCACAAGGGGTGGGTTGAACATCAAAGGGCAAACAACCTGTTTTGGGTTTCCCTATTTGGGGGACAACGTGCATATATGAACGCATGTACGTGCGGGGAAAACAACCGCCCTTGACACTCGCTCTTGAGCTGCAAAACTGGCTGCAAAACATTCTGCTGCTGCAGATCGTAATATGCACATACCGTCCCTCAAACACAATCAAACGCATCTCCAGTTTTGTTATTGTTGATTGTTGTCTTTTTAAGGGCGTGTGTAGGAAGGGGCGATTAGTGGTTTTTTAGAAGGGCATGTAGTCACACGGCATTGCGACTAGGTTTGTATTGTTTTGGAGCCGGAATTATTGTGGCAAGCCACTGTATGACTAGCAGTGCCTAGTAGCGACGAATTGCAGCAAGAACAAAAACGACCCCTGGCGGGCCATCATGCCTCCCCTGCCTCCCCTTGCTATGGCTCTAGAGCAGCAGCTAGGGCCCCAGCCGGCCGAGTGAAGGATTCAATGAGCCGAACGCCATGGCATTCAATCAGCCGCGCTGCCAGCGGGGAGGCCGTCAGAAGTCACGTAGCAGCAGTTCAGCTTACCCTCCACGGGCGGTAGGGCATGTGGGTATGAGGCTGGGGATCCCTAGGAAACCACAAGGGATGGTTTGTATTCCCTACTGAGCACCGGCAAGTTGCATAGTTCCATATGTGACCCCCTGGCCATTTTGGACCCTTTGCGGGCTGATTTCCCATAATGAAGACAGTTCACAGTCAAGTAATCCATAAACTAGCGCTTCATACCAGGGGTTCACGTGTGGACGTGTACATTCAGCCCTTGTGCCGAGCTTCGTCGTTATCGCTGGCTCGGACTTGCAGCTTTGGTCGTGCAATGGGAAAAATCAGCCCAAACCTCCAAGGCACCAAGCCACTAATCAGAGGGAATCTGAGCAGTTGACTTGTGTAAACCCCTTTAGGTAGCAAGCCCCGGAAAATGCAAATCACGTTTCCAGATGTCCCCCCCTTAACGGGGCATTTGGATGGTTTGCTCATCTACCACACGTTGGTTGCGTCCCAAAAGGTGTTTTTTGGTTGCCGTGTTGTTTGGGCGAACCTTGCCCTCTTCAGCTTGCCCTTTGAGCCAATGGAAGGCCGCCCTCGTTGCCCCGATGGAGCGGCTTCTGCTTTTGTTCATATTTAAGTCAGCCTGTTGTTATGGAGAAAAGGGATCGGTCCGTTTGTTTGACCTGAAGTCAGCATGTTTATGCAGAAAAGGATTCGCAATGCAGTTTGAGAAGGTTCTCATGGTTGGGGGGGTGTTGTTTTGCTTGCCACCAGGCAGTTTTTTCACCTCTCGCGCCCAACACCCCAATTGAGTAGTACGGTCCTGACGCACCCGAAGTTGACAATGCTCAGATACTGAGCTAGAGACAGAGAGGAGCTAATGGGTGGGAAAGCTCGACATGAGGCAACAGCAGCTCGCTTCCTGAGTCCCCGGGCTTTAAGCTGCTTGGGAAGACCATTTTAGTGGTACAGAAACAGATCGGGCTCTGTTTGGGCCGGCTACTCGATCGGCAGTGAGTGCTGACTCGTTGGCTTCAGACGCGGTGCGTCTCAGGCTACAATCGCTCCATCAATTCCTGCGCCAAAGCTTCCCAGTGGATCGCTGCCCTGCACTTGGCCCGGGAGATGCTGACAGCGGACACTTGCAACCAAAGCATATGGGTGTGTGTGTGTGTTTTTGTTTTTCCTTTTTTCGGGGGGGGAGGAGACCCCAAGACCTGGTGGTCTTCCTCTAAGTTTCCTTTGCAAACCATGAAAAAAGGGGTGGCAACTCAAAAAAAAGACGCAGCCACATCGACTTGGAGTCAAAGTTCCAAAAAGGTGATCACCCTGTATTTCGGGGTCCCTAAGGGGCAAGCGAGATTTTGTTCAACGGCCGGGGTGGGTAATGGCATGGCCAGTCGGAAGGCCTCCTTTTTGTGTTTGTTTTTCAATTCGTGGATTGCAAGTAATCAGAGAACTAACCCTTGACAGGTGGTTTGGATTCGTGGCTTGGGGAGTGTGAACCCCGGTTCTTGTAGAAAGAGCAAATGGACCCCACCCCCCCCAGCCCCTAGACCACCAATCCAAACCATCAACTAGAGGGGAGCTGAAACAAGTATAGCCCACAAGGTTGCAAACGAATTTGTTCAGCCAGAGGTCATGGGGGCAGATGTTCGAAATCGACATGAATTGAGTTGTTTGCGGGGCGTGACCTCCTCCATGTTCAGTGATTTTAGGGTAGACTGAATATGGGCGTGTTTCTTTTGAGGGTACCCATGTTTGCCGGTTTTAACACGAAACCAAACGACACATCTTGGCTTTGGAGTGTCCAACCAAAAGGAACCCCATACTGTATGAAACAGATTTTGGCAAATCCGAGTGCCCAGGACATCAGCCCCACCATCATCACCTTCAACAGCCTTCTCAATGCCTCGGCACGAGCTGGCCAGCGACTCGACTCGGTCAGGGCCTTCAGCATCTCCAACCCAAGGTGCCTTTTAGGCGCAGACTTGGGACAGATTCCTTTTAAGATTGGATGTTACTTTCCGTTTCGTGGACTTTGAGTTTCCATTGATCTGGAATTGCTGGAACTTCCTTTTGAGATTTGGAACTAAGTGTCCATTTGATGTTGTATCAGTTTCCATTTGATTGACTATTGCTGGAGCTTCCTTTTGAGATTTGGAGCTGATAAACCATTTGATTTAGTATTGGTGGACTTTGAGTTTCCGTTTGATGTAGCATTGCTGGGTGAAAAAGTATTGTTTCCCATAGCTATGACTTGGGATTTGGAGCCTTGGAAAACGCAGGCGCTGGGTTGTGCTGTTGAAAAAAACATCCCGACTCCTAAGCTTTCTGGCGATTCAGACGCTTGGCGTGTGACACCCGGATCCAGACACTTTCTACACCAGGCCCGATTCAGCCGCTGCGATCCTGAAACTGGGCCCAAGAACTTTGGATCTTGAAAGCCTGACCCACTGAAGGAAACACGCATGTGCACCTTTTTTTTGATAAACGCGTTCTTGGTCCGCACCTAGATGTTTTCTTGGTCCAGCCAGCTCTTTCCAGGCTTCTTTATTCCATTTGTTTTTTATGGGTCCAAGGGGAGGGCTGGGCTTTTTTGAGCCCAAAGCGAATCGACCTGATCTGACGATCCTTCGGATCTTGAGTGAGCCGCCGTTTGCAACTGGGCTGAGGTATTTCATTGCCATGGCGCTTTTGGACACCATAGTCGCACTGCAAGTGCTCCCGGACGTCATTAGCTACAGCAGTGCGATTCGGGCATGTGAGGAGACTTGTGGCCAAACAAACTGACTAAAGGCACGGCAGAAGTTGAACTTAGGTGACGTGTTATATTTGGGCCATCCCAGCTGGTCCCAGTTAACACTATGGCATTTATATAGGTAACCAGCCATGTTCTTTTAAATGTTCAAAGGGTTGTTCGCTACAAAACATGTCAATGGAAGCAGTGGGCTTAGCAAGCTGTGCTAGGACATGTTTAGCCCCTTGGTTCAGGGTTGACTTGACCAAGGGCCTTTTAACTGTTTGGAGACTGACTGTTGCCCTCGCTGGCTGTCAAACCATGGTTCGCTTTTTGCAGGGCGGGGTTCAGCGAAACTCCGCAGGAGAACAGCCTGTGGCTTGAGGCGGTGGGCTTGTTGCATACGATGGACCAAGCTCAGATCACGCCCAACGGCATCAGCTACAACAGCGTTATAAGCGCATCATGGCAGTTCCCAGCCACACCCCCAAGGCTAAGGCTTTTTTTTTACACATGTTTCGAGTATACGTTGTTGTTTGGTATGCGTCAAAGTTTGGCCAAGCAAACATGTTGGAGTTCTTGTTGTTTTCCCTTGAAACCATCCTGAAAAAAGGGTACCCTCGAAATCACACAGGCCAATGTATGACAGACCCCGCTAACACTCTAGAATTGCAGCAAGGCAAAGGGAAGCCACTAAGGTATGTCAAGGGTGCGGCTTGTGGATGATCGCATTGGATATTTTGCGCTCCATGGAGATTCGCAGCATTCTGCCAGATATCTTCAGCCACTTTCATTGACTTAAGATGTCGTTTTCAGATTTTCCCTGTTAGAACATTTTGGGGGGCAGCGGCCAGTGTTTCAAAATATGGCTGCAGCATCGTAATGTTGACCCCCTATTAATCAACCCAGTTTATCAATAGGGGGGTGTTCAAAAGTGAACAATCCTCACTAAAACCAGGGACACCCCCACATGAATACACAGGGGTTTATTACTCGGGGCTGTTCATTACGTGGGAAGGCTACAATAGCGCGATCTCCTGCTGCAAAAGCAGCGGGCGCTGGCAACAGGCGCTGTCGCTGTACAGCTGCTTGCCTTCGGCCAGCCTCCAGCCCGACCTCTACACCTGGAATCTCACTTCTTCCCCAGAATTAGCTCCCCTTTTTGCTGTTGTTTTTGTTTTTGTTGTTGCCTTTTTGGGGTTTTCTTTGTTTTCCACTAACCAGGCAAAAAACGTTTTTTTTTTTGCTGCGGTCCTAATTCCAGCCCAGACTTGTCATGGAATCTTCGGGGGGGCTATGAGGGGGGGGCTATCCCTGGATAAGCCCAGGATAGCCCTTAAGGCCTTAGTGTGGGCAAAAGAATGGATAACCCCTCCTCCCCATAGCCCCCCCTTGGTCCATGAGCTTAGGCTTGTCTCAAAAGAGTCCGGGACCCCCGAAAATGCTTTTTGTTTTTAGGTAAAGCCAACCTGCAAAGGGCACCCTGAAAAAAACACGCAACATGCCCTTGAGTTTGTCTCATTGGGGTCCCCAAGGTTGGTGGGTTTTGTTGAGAACCGGATGTGACCTTTGGTATTGTTGGCCGATTTTCCGTGGCACCTGCGTCACCCAATTAGGGGTCACCTGCTTTCTTTTTGGGGAAAACGGCTTTTGAGGGAAGGAAACAGCTTAGTTTGTGTTGGCCCGATCCACTGCTGAAGTGAGTCTTGCCTTTTTGCTTCTCAGAGATGAAACAGTTCCCTGTGAATCATGCCATGGCTTCCTGTAAGGCGACCTGATTGAAACAAACGTCTTTCAGGGTATGGCTGGGAGCCGACATTTCACCCAGTTGCCCCGTAACGTTCCACACATCTTGAAGTCTTCTTGGGTTGACCATTTTGAGTGGGAACTCACCAACCGAAAATGACATCAGCGGGGTTGGGGTAGCCGTCCGAGCGAGGAACAGTTTGCTGAGCTCCTGTGAGTCTGATCAATGGCGCGTTGCTCTGCGAGTCTTTGACGCCATGCTATCCGTCGATATGGTCCCAGACAACATCAGCTGCTCGTCTCATGAAATTTCCTTAAAAGACCTGACCTGAAGCTCGCCTTTTTGGTTTGTGAATCGGTTGTTTTACCGAGAACGCGGGTGATCATGCACGTCTGGCACCCGCAACAACTGCTTGGAGAGCCGGGTTTTGGACATAGGAAAACAAACAATCGGGAAGTGTTCGTCAACAACCTGGAAACGTGGATACTTGGAGTAGGGGTCTGAAACATCAGTACTGTACTCGGGGCTAGTTGTAACCCGCCCCACCATCCTATGGACAATCGATGCAAGGAAGTGTTGGGGCTGTGGCGCATTGGCAGCGGGCCTGCAGACAAAGACTGCCAGCTCTAAGCGTTTCATCTCTTGCAAATTCTGTATCAATTTAATTGCAACTGACCAAACATATCTTTCTATTCCATTGGTTTAGATACAGTTCCAGCTGACGGTTATGACATACATTATTATCTTCAATGTTTCAATAATTCTGCATTTCTATTTATTGTTTATTTCAAAACAAAATCAAACAAATCCCCCAATGTTTCAATAATTCTGCACTGTTTTTTACTTTCCCCAAGAGCTGAACTCAGAATTGGATCCCCAAGTAAAGGGCCTTGATCATGGTGAGCGGGCTTAACCAGGTGAGCTCGCTATGAGATATGCAGATAACTGCATGGTTGTTGGGCGTGTGGGTTTTGTAGCTCAGATGTTTGCTGCGACACCTTCCTTTCATGCTGCATCAAGACGTGGTGCAGATGGAGCTGGAGATAGTGCATTCACTGGCTGATGGAATTGTAGAAACAAACCTGAATAAGATAAGACTACAACATGTTCTTCAAACCGTTACCTCCGCCGAATACATTTGTTCCCCCTCATTTCTTGTAGATGGTTTTCTATTGGGGATTTGATGACCTTGCAGAGCATGATGAGACCCATATAGATATGGGTCAAAATTCAACCACTAGGGGACCGCAGGTTTTAGTCCATGTTTCCATTTGCCAGGGTTCCATTTTGGGTGCCTATTTTTGACCCACACCCATATGTGTGGTCTCGAGACCCCTTGCCGAGGGATGGTCATTCGGAGCCTAATGCGTTTGAATGTGACACGTTCGGAGTTCCAACTTTCCAGCCAAGTGAAACCAGTACGTCTGAAGCCAAAGCGCGCTTTCTTCAAACTGACTTGCAAGTGCTCGTTGCTTTTCCCAAAAGCACAATCTTAAAGTTATCATCCAAATAACCACTTTAAGGAGCCCAGTTCTGACTCACTTCAATGGATCTATGCACTTGCGCTGCTCTAGGTCACTCTACCTGACATGGATCCCCAGGAAGGGTCGTAAGGAGATTCCGATGCAAGTTTGTTTTTGCGAAATGGGGGCCTGTAAAAAATCGGGGGGGATTACCCAATCCCAATATTGAAAAGAGGCAATTTTGGTGACAAATAAGCCAATGGGGGGGTTTTGGAGATCCGTTTGTGTGGGGGTCGCCTCTTTGGTGGACCTTGGCATCTTTGTTCAGCTATTGTTGGCTGAGGCTACAATAGCATCATCGCAGCTCTTGCTGCGGAAGGCCATTGGACGTTGGCCCTGGAATTTCTGTCGGGAGAATCTCATTTGCAATTGAAGCGAGATGACAAGACCCGCAAGGGCTGAGGATAACTAAAAGCTGGTTTTTGTTAGTTATCGCGTCGTCCAAGTGTCAGGCCCTTTTTCCACAAGCCCTGCACCAAAACCTTGCTACCATGTTGGTATGTTCCCTTTTTTCTTCTTTGGTGTGGGCCTCGATCGTGTGGCTTTGGTTGTGTGCCACCCTTCTGGCCTGCCTTGGCCCCTGAACCGGACAGCTCGATCCACTTTTAGGGGTCTTGCACTGAGGGGGGGCGAATCTATGACGATCTGCATTTCTCGCACCGATCGCCAGTGCCTGCTGGTTTCTACGAGAGCCGCGCGCGGCGAAACCCTAGGTCACGAAGCCCAGCTTGGGCATGGTGAGCAACAGCATCCTTGCCGCTTGCGAGGCCCAGGAGTGGCCCGCGGCAGTGCAGCTGCTTATGGAGACTTGGCCTTGGGGTCCACCCCTAAGCTCGCGGAACACGCAGCCCTAAGATCCGATGAGGGCCTTTGGCCCCTCAAATGATGAGGTCTTGGGTTTCTAGGGTAGGAAGGTTGTGTATATCCCCCTCTTGGTTTTAGAAGGAAGCTATCACTACTGGATGTTGTTTTCCCAACTCAAGCAAGTGGAGGTATCTCACTCCCTGAGTTCCTGGACTTTATACTTTTGGGTTTGGACCATTTGTGTGGAAAGCACCATGTTCCGCCATTTTTGGGCCAATCCTCTCAGTGAGATTTGGGAAGGCCGTTATTCTTCCCACATATAAAGAGGGCGTAATTTCGGACGGTTTACTTGGGTCACCACGTCAAATATGTTATTTTCTGGACTGTTCATGCTTCGTGGGGACAGCTGCTGAGAACACGGTTTGTTTTTGCTGACATTCCACGGCCAGGCTGGGACTCCTTGCCCAGATCCCAGGGCACTTCAAAACGCACCCGAGAGGGCTAAGGGGTGCCATTTGGGGGAATAAACGTCGTTGAAGGCCAACGGTTTTGGACTCCAGGGCTCATTTTCTCTTCACTTGTTGTTTTCCAGGGCCCAAAAATAACAAATTCGAATGGGTATTGTGGCAACCTCCCCAACATGGCTAGATTGTGGTTTTCTGAAAACAGAAGAAACGACCAATGGGTTTTTCCCCGAAAACAGACCGCCCCTCCAATTCCAAAGACCGGGTGCGAATCCTTGCGCCCGCGTTCGCATGGAGACTCCGAGGACATGCCCGGGTTGAATCTTTCAGCTGACGAATGCTGCTTCAGCAGTGCCATAAACAGCTGCCGGCGGCGCCATGGTCCAGGTGGCACATGGTTTGCTGTCGTTTCGTTGGTTTCTCAGTGGTGGCCCTTTCTGCAAGAGTGTTCCTCGAGTTTTATCCAGCCAGTCGGGCTTAGCTGTTCAGCCAGGGCCACCTGGCAACCCACAAATCGCGTCCATTTGTTTGTATCCCGCGGGCATATAAGGAGCACCTGCTGGCAGATTGCTCTCAGCCTGCTCCAGTCGATGGCCGACGCTGGCTTGCATGGAGCTGGGTGTCTTCGTGGGGTTCCCCCAAGTATTGAAAGCAAGCCAACCACAACACTGCAATTTTTCGGTTCGCAGTTCCCCCGTTTCCCCGCTTGGAGTATAGGGTTCTAATCAGATTGCTAGGTCCCCCAGTAGTGCCCTTTGACCAACTTGGGAGGGTTCCCCTACTAAAATCGACTACAAAAAAGGGGCACCCTTATTCTAACCTCTCGACTGGAGGACCTAGGGTTGTCTTATTGAACATCAAAACGGGTGCTTTGCCGCAAGCGCAGGCTTTCTCTTGGAGGTAGGCCGGGTGGCAAAAGGACAACTCACTGCTGGTGTAGAATCGCTGGGTACATTTGGTGCTGGGGTGGCCGAGAAACAAGCTTTGAACTTTTTTGCACATGACAGTACGAGGTTCAACTTGTTCAACTCACCCACGAACTTCTTTTGTTTGTTTCCACTAACTAGTGATAGTGTCCCCCCACTTGCAGTTTAACTGTTTCACGACCAAAAGCCAACCCAGAGATGGTCACCATTTGTTCGACCACAGACACGTAGCCAAGTACGCATGAAGATGGACTTAGGGATACAGCCCCCCTCACATAAATTGTTTTTTTGTTCTCGGTGGGGGGGGGATTGAGAAAGCCTAGGCCTAGAATCAATCCCTCCAGGGTCAGAATCGGCACTGCAGGAGGGTTTAGAATGGTTTCAGTAAGACTCTTCATCAAGGGCTACCACGGCAAAAATTGAACGATGTGTGTGAGCATGGTTGTTTTCAGTACACTGTGGCATAGCTTGTTTGAACAAACTTCCCCAACACAAGTTGCTTGTTTTTCCCACCCTTTTCTCTCAGGTTTGGGACATGATTGTGTTCTTTGGTTTGGAGGCGTTTTGCGACAGTCCTGCTTTCTTGTCCTGCTTCAAAGCCATTCCAACTCGCTGACAAGCTGGAGTGACACGCGGAGGAATTCTTACCACCCTTATGAGGAGTCGTGAGCACGTTGCAACTGTCTCAAATGGCACACACACACACACCCGCACACAGCATGGAATAGACGCCAACAAACACCTACACATGCATGTGGGACATGTAAGGTAAGTCTATTATTTTTCGTCTACGAGGAAGGCCTAACCGGGTATTTGTTGAATTCATGATTTCATCCAAAACCGAGGGTTCGTGCGAGGGCTGCTTATGCTTGTGCACAAGTCGGGGGCCGAAGGAGTTTGGTGGTTACAGTCACCTTTTGCGCCGGCGCCCAGGGCCCTTGAAAAAACATGGTTTGTGAGTTGGCACTGGGTGGTTGAGTGGATTGCGCTGCTGTCGGCCTTTGAGAGGGCGCAGGGAACAGTTGCGGAAGGTGTGCCATTGAGCCCCCGAGGTGCATTTGCGGTCAGACTCGGTTTGCTACAACTGCGCGATCGCGCGCCGCGGGTGCAAGTGGACGGACCTTTGACACGAAACCCATGTCGTCGTTGTTTGGGCCCACTACTGTGGATGGACAAAATCCTGCACCACTTTGAAACATGGGAAACTATTAATTAGTTTGTTGGTATTTACAGGGGAATCATCGATTTCGTCCATCCACAGTATCAAACAAATGATGTTGTTGATGTGAGCCAGTGGCGGGAATCGCGAGCGCGTCAATTTCTGGGGCCCGTGCAGGTTTATGATCAGATTGAATTGGTACAGCGTCTGACGCTTGAAGCGTCAGCCTAGCGGACCTGAATTTTCAGGCCAACACCGATCAATCAGAGTGCGGGCAAGTGGTTTGTGTTTAAGTGTGTGGTTTTTTGGTACTGCATGTTTTGGTGGAGCCCGTGAAAAAGCAGTTTGCCCGGACATGCCAGGCTTGTGAACTGTATCGCGCCTTTGTCAGAATTGCCTAGTGGAACGGAGCGGGTTTGCCCTCACCAAATATTTCCACAAGGCCTGGTTTGACATTCCCTTTCAAGAGACCCCACCCTGTTGGGGGGTCAATGCTTTTGAGACATTGTAGCTTCAAAGGGTCCCCCCTTCCTTTGCTTGGGGGGGAAGGGTTCCCTTTAAAACCAACAAAGTCACTTGCCCAAAGCTGACCTTGTGACCTTCTTTGATTTCCCCTGAGCAGGTCCATTTTCGTCATGCCCCCAAGGACCTTGCGTCACATTGGTTTTTGTTTTGCGTCCTCCGAGCTGAGCAAAAGAGTGGGTGCCTCACAGCTGCGAACCATGGCCATGTGAACCCATCGATGTACCCAAAACTGATTGGCGCGAGAAGTTTGCCCGGTGTGATTTTTGGGTCCCTCGACCAAGATGGCAGGTGTCCAAGGAAAAATGGGTGTGGCTCCCATGCTGGTCCTCAGGTGCTGCCACTGGCAATGGGCCTATGCTCTACTTGGCAGGGCGCTGGGGGACGGAGTGGCGGACAGACTTGGCTTTCACAGCGTCATCAATGCGTGCAGAGGCTGGCGATGTTCTTCAACGTGCCGTTTTTTTCTTTGTAGTCCTAGTTGAGTTGCTCATTTGTTTTTCCGGGAAGGGGGTTCTTTTTAGTTTCAACCACCACACAAGAATGCCCTTTTGATGGGAATCCACGCACCTTCTCATTTTTTGTTGTTGCAGGGTGGCACCTTCAGTACCCTTGAAATCTTTCAAGCATGGGAAACAACCGGCTCGGGTCTTCCCCAAACATTTTTCACATGGACTCAATATGACACTGAGTCAGAGCATCTTATGTTCTGCGTACGCCAGATGTGGGCCAAGTAGATGAGGGGCATGCCAGAGGCCTGTTGGCCTTCATGACTGGAAACCTAGGATGGATAAACCGGCCTGTTTGGTTAGGTGGCGTCCAATTCAACAGGGTTTCTGAAAGGATACATCTTGATTGGCCTTTTTCCAAGTCCACCTTTCAGTGGCCTTTTTGATGACCATGCAGAGTTTCAATTTTGGTTTCGTAATTCGTGGTGATGTTTGGGCGCATCCTTTCAGGGATCCTGTAGTCAGGGATCCCGTCGCATGCCAGGTGAGTGGAGATCAGCCCTGGAGCTCTTCACCGCCATGACGCTTTGGCGAATGGGTACCCTGCAAACGAATGGCGCCCAAGGGGAGAATCCTATACTGGGTCCCCCAGTAGTGGCCTTTCTTACCCCTTTTTTGGGGGGAGGGGTCTACTAAAATAGACTACAGAATCAAGGGTACCCTTATTCTAACCTTCCTACTGAAGGACCTAGTATAAGAACAATGCCCCTTTTGGGGGGTTCCATGTTAGTCTGCAGGAGTGTAGGTGTTTGTGTGTGTGTGCTCGTGGTGGCTTATGGTGTTATGGTCTCCTTTTCCTGCTTGGTGCTTGCCTGATTTATGCGCTCTTAGAACCAGACAAGCTTGGTTGCGAGCGCTCATTGGCCAAACCTATCGGTTTTACTTACCCGAGGCAGAAAAAGGCAGTCCCAAACCGCAGAAGAAGAGCGCTTGACAGCTATCTCCGAGTTTGTTCACAACCATCGGGGCGTCCCTTTTAGATTCTATTCTTGTCTTAAAGCTCTAAATGTCGACACCTCCATGAGGTATGCCAAACTCGATCCAAGGGTTGGGAAAATCCTGACGAATGACCAGCTGAGGAAGCGGTGGAACATTCGGCGCGATGAGGTGTCATACAACAGCAGCATCAGTATCTCGGTTCCAACCAGCGGGCTTTCTTCTTTGGTTTCCTTTTGTTTGGTGTTTTCTTGTTCAGTTTGGTTTGTCTTGCCTTTTGTTGGGCACTTCCTTGTTCAGTTTGGTTTGTTTTCCTTTCGTTTGGCGTTTCCTTGTTGGTTTTTGTTTCGTTCAACTGACAACCCAATTGTATTCCGGCTGCCCAGTCTTTTGGTACAAGTGAGGCACATGTGAGAAGGGCGGGCAATGGATCCACTCATTGACCTTGCTGCTCTCCATGAATGTCTCCCGAGTGGCACCAGGCTGTATCAGCTGCAGTGGGGCCATCAGTGCCTCAGCTTTTATTCCACTCGGATTTGAACAATACCTCCCTGTTTTTTTTCTCCCCCCCGTGTTCTAGGGGTACCTTCCCCATTCTTTCCAATCCTTCATTTCAGGAAACCATCAAAATCCCAGGGGACACAGCCGGTTTTTGAAAAGAAGGATGGTTGAAAAAAGAATGGGGAATCAACCCCTAGAAGTGTTGTTGTTCACAACATCTTCACACATGTTAGCCTTTACCTGACCACAAGCAGCGTTTGGACTTTTTGTTGTACCTTTCTGGTTTAGTCAAGTTTAGAGCTTAACCTTCATTTCCGTGCGTTTTGAACAGGTGAGGTTTTCCTTTCTGTTAGGTTTGGGAACCACAACAGAAAGGGTTCCCTTGCTGTGGGTAGACACACATAATTTGAAGATCTGGTGTGTCTTTTTGTAGGGTACCTTTTTTTTGGTGGTTTTAGAGGGAAGCCAAAAGGAACCACATTTCGGGGGGTCCCCTAATAAAAGCCAGACCCACATTGTACCCGCAGATTTTTGTACTTGTGTTTGCTTAGCCTTGGGACGCGCCCAGTGCCCGAAATCAAACAAAATCGCACCGCAAGAGAAACCTTATCAACGCTTGTCCTTCCGCTAGTTTCAGCTTTGGGATCGCTACTTTGAGGGCAGAACGCCAAAATCGCAATTGCTGAATGGTATCGGGAATATGCACGGGAAAACCATGCACCCCTGGTGTTCCTTCGTTTTCCTTTGCATACCCTGTTTGCAAGTCTTTTTTTAGCCTGTGTTGCTTCAACATGCGCACAGGCATGTAATTGAGCTGTTTACCTGCAATCTTACTCCTGCCCTTTAGGTCACGAAAGGGAGTCTTCTGCCGGACTGAATTTGATGTGGCTGTGGGTCAGAAATAGGCACCCAAAATGGAACCCTGGTAAGTGGAAACGTGGACCACAACCATGTGTTGTTCTTTTGTTTTCCTTCACTTCCATTTGCTTAAGATGTTGTTTGTTTTCCCCTGCTGCTTTAAAAGGGAATCTATCACTACTGGACATGGACATATATTTTTGCTTTTTGCCAGGGGTCTTCACCACATGGAAGTTCATGTCCCAGCCATCCAGCAGTTTCACCTCGCACTGGGCCATCCGTCCGCTCGGCCACGAGGCCGCCGGACCAAATCGAAATCCACCCGAGGCGCGGGCGCGAGGCGCGCGCGCTGGCGCAGGGCCTTGGGCCTGCTCCGCTTCGCGCGGCTCAACAGAACCGAGTTCCAAAATGGGTTGCCCTGGGAAGTGGAGACATGGAAGACCTGCGGTTTGCCCCTCCTGTTTAATGTTGAGCCACACCCATTGGTTAAGAACATTTCACGAAAGCTAGCTTTAGCTAGCTGAAGTTTCTCCTTGCGTAAGCAAGGTAAGGGGCTCAAATGCCGAAAGATTTATTTGTTCAATTATTTGAGCCGAAAAGATTGAAACACATCAATTATTTAGACCCCCCCCAGGCTCGATTCCTCCCTGGTCCATCCCCCCCCCCCGGGCAGTGGCTCAGTGTTCAGCAGTCTCGGTTTGCCCGTTTTGGACTTGGTGCTACGAACTTTTACATGTTCCACCGATTCAGCTTGTTCATTTGAGACCTCAGTCTTCTCAGTAAACCACCTCGCAAGAATCGTTGCACACGCAGCATGCAGAACCCAGAGGTGCTTTAAGACAGCTTCTGACGCCTCTCGTTGTTTTTATTTTTCAAGGTTTGCCACGCCACCATGTGCGTTTGCATGTCGCATCCTACGAATCTTGCCGGGCCTCTCGTTGCACACAAGCTACCCATGAATCCACTCTGTCACCGACCCATCTCATGCAACAACTGCTAGCTTTCGTTCACCCGCTCCTCAAGTTTTATTTCCCCTGTTGGTTTTAAAGGGAATCTATCACCACTGGATTTTTCTGAGTTTTTCCAGGGACTTCAGCAAAGCCATTTACTGCAATGTTCTGATGGTTCCCCTTTGCTTCGATGAGTGGGCCCCGAACCCATCACTTACAGGGCCAACCAACCCACTTAAAGGGACCCCATCACTTACAGGGGCAACCAATAAAGGTACAGGGTACTTCGTCAGTGGTCAGTAGGGCCGGTTATGACCCACTGAATGGTGACTGATAATCATTTTTAAGTGGGTTTTAGTCAGCGTTTTGGTCCATTTGACGTGACATAAATGTATATATATATATATATGTTTATAGATGGATGGCCTTTGTTCAACTCTCCATGTGCTACTTGAAGCCACGAGTTGTCGGGTATGTCTCAGAGATATGTAAGCAGAACCTTGTTGTTTTGAGAGTCCCTGGGTCTGGCCGTTGGCTGCCTGTATTGGCATGGCGCTTCTTTGTTTGTGCTAGGTCACTTGGCAACTGGGCAATTTCTGATTGGTATTCTTCGCATTTTTCCTTTCTGGAACTCCGTTTTTTTTGGGCCTTCAGCCCTCCTAAGTTTCCCGCATTTTGGCGCAAGCAGCCGGCTCTCCACTGGGGTCTCCAAGCCCATACGCTGTCGCGTTTCAAGGTTGGCAATGCACGAAACAAAACTTGAGTATACGAGTCATCCCCTTTCGCTTTGAGACCGCACAAATGGTTGGTTTCCTTGTGGTGTTTCGTTGTGTTTGTTTAGAGTTCACGCTGCCAAGTTCATTGGCTGGGGTGGTCACCTTGTTCTCGGCAAGGCCACTCCCCCTCAACCATCTCTTGTGGTTCCCCAAATCCACTGCTCCCTCGGAAACAAAAAGGACAACCGCCATATCTAAATATGTATGTATATATATATATACATGTCTATATGTATATACATTCCTTTTTTTGGGGGGGGCTTCCCCACAAAAGAGACATGGCGTCCATAGGTTCGTTCTCAGGCCCCCTGCTTGAATCCTCCTGATTCCCCAAGCCAAGGACCCTGCGGCGCATGGAACATGATGTGATCAGCGTCAATGGGGCCATCAGCGCGGGTAGCCCACAGATCGCTCTGAGCTTGTTAAGGCAGATGGAAGCTCGGCTGCTTTTCTTGGGCCACTTGGGGAGAGGCAGTGGGACCGTTTTTTTGGTCAAGGTCTTGGGATGTCGTCAATTCAGCCGCAGGGCATTGGAAGGGAAAGCACCACCAGCACGGGCTCCCCTCGCCTGCACTGACCATCAACCGTTCTTCGCCATCTAAAAGGCGACCCCCTCAACAAGGAATGCTTCACTACAAGGGGGTCGATCATTATTCCACCAAAGCTGGCAAAAGACCACCCTGCGCTATACTAGCGATAGCCATTTGGAGGAAGCTTGGCCTTTTCAGGTTCAAATGTCCTTTGCAAGAGCTCACCTCTCTGTGCGCTGAGCCAAGGAAAGCCAAGCCATGCGCCCAAGCGGGGTGAGCTGCAATGGGGCCATCAGTGCGTGGGAAGGTGGAACGGGGAATCCTTCGATTCGAACGTGTGGATGGAACGGAATTCCTAGGAGAAGATGTGAGTCAGTTGTTTTATGTTTGTTAATAGGTTCCTTCTTCAAAAGACAATTGTAGATTACACCTTTTAAATAGAGATCCCAGCCTTAAAATCCAAGTTGTTTAGTAGATTCCGCCCATACAATCCAGATTCCACCCTTAAAATCCAGTCGTTGACTAGATTCCCCCCTTAAGATCCAGTGGCTCAGTAGATTCCACGCTTAAAAGCCCTGTGTGTTGATCGCTTCACCACTCAACACTGGTGAACAGCAAGCCTCAAACTGGGTCCCTCTTTGCCTCAGCGTCGCTGGCAGCCATATTTTTGGTTCACGTCAGCTTTGCATTGGTACATGTCTTTTCAACCCTGTATCACGGGCCTGGTGTCCCTTGGCAACGTGTGGTTTGCGTTGGGTTTACTTTGAAAACAGGGCCTTCCGTAGGTTCCCTCTGACATTGAGCATGGGTTCCAATTCGCTAAATCGGCTGAGGTCAATTTGTTCGGGGACATTAGGAGAACCAGCCCAACAGCATTTTGAGACCTGAAGGCCCCAGACCCTCGCAAGCGAAAAAACCACCTACCCCACATGGAACTCGACCGGGAGCTTTTAGGAAGACCTCTTGCCCGAAGCCTTCGGCTGGGTTCCATGTGTGGGAAGCCGGGAACCCCGTCAAGGGAAATCGGGGGGGGGGGGGGTGCTATGATTGACACTGGGCTTGACACTTAGGTCATTTTTGCAACCTTCATTTAGGGTAATGTTGACCCCGTATTGCTCAACCCCTGTTTATTTATAGGGGGTTTCCCTCGAAAGGTGACGCTTCCCCCCTAAACCTAGAAACACCGCCCTACTAACAAAACTGGGGTTGATGAGTATGGGGTCAACATTATGGGATTTTCAGGGTTTGAGTCTGAAAAATGGACGCTAACTGTGCTTGACTGCTATTGGGTTGGATCCTTAGACTTTAACTTTTGGGCATCAAGGGGTTTTCCACTAAACCCACAAAAAAGTTAAACTTTTTGCAGAGGGGTCAACAGCAACCAAGTGTCCATGGCATGGGAAAAGGAGCCGCAGGCAGTCACTGGATGATGGTTCTGCAGCTCCTCAGCTCGCAGCTACAGCGAGATGTGGTCAGCCTCTTGGAGTGAGCGAATGCCCACGCGGGGCACTTTTCTAGGTACCCCAGTAGTGCCCTCTTACCTTTTTGTTTGGAGGGTTCCCTACTAAAATGGACTACAGACAAAAAGGGTACCCTTATTCTAGCCTCTCTACTGGAGGACCTAGTTTTGAAAAACATGGAACCACCATAGAAATCTTCAAAGCCAGGTTCCATAATGGGAGACTAACTTCGATTTTCCTGGTTTTATAGGGAACCACTCTTTTGCTGAAAAACAATGCTGCAATGACTTCTAGAATCAAGCCAATTGTCTTCCAAGGGCCCGCCAGGTTACATACTGGGGAGAGTTTATTTTCCCCTGGTTTTAAAGGGAATCGTTCGATCATATGCTTACTCTTTGGGGACTTAAGCAAATGGCTAGATTTCGCGTGTTTCTTAGGCAGGGGTTCTTCTACGACTCTACAACAACTGCCAATAATGAAAGAAGGCGCCCTTTTTCCAGTGGAGGCGCAGGTTGATCTTGTACATTTTACTCCGGTATCCCAAAATTCGACGGTTTTGTGTGGGGCTCCCAAAAGTGTTCGTGTCCTTCTCGTTTCTCTGTGAGCCACTCAAGGGGTGTTCTCAACCAACCCAAATCAGACGACCTATCTTTAGAACTTGGAGCAAAGGTTCGGCCTGGGTTCTTTGACCAGCGGAGGCTTCAACAGCTCTATCAGCGCCTGCCAGAAAGCTCGGCACCAGGAGGAGGCCTTGAAACTGCAGGTCCAGATGGACACTTGGCTCCAACTCCCTGAGCTCATGGACTTCAAACCTTGTTGAAAACAAAAATAAAAATACAAGAAAGGTGAATAACAAGTTTGAAATATCAAATGACAATACAAACAAAAATAAAGAAATAACAAGTTTGAAGCTCTTTTTGGCCAGTCCGCAACTCCCTGATTTTGACACCTCTTGGGAAGACAGTCTTAGTAATACGTAGAAAAAGTCCGGATTTGCTATCGCCAGTTCACTTGATCATAAGTAGGTTTGGCCTCGAACAATTCCGGGGTTGCTCACTTCCCTTTTGCCCACCGTCCTGGATTTTTTTGCCTGGCAAGCCACAGCTTGACGACAAAGCGACTTTTGGTTTGGCTAAAGTTTGGATGTCCCGGCTCCCAAAAAGGCACACCTACTGGGTCTATTTTCACAACATATTAGGTGGACATCGACATCGGCGTAATATATATATATATATATATTATATTGCCAGCTGGTTACAAGTGAGGAACTTGTCAAATGAACAAGATTACTTCACGGCTTCTCAGGATCAAGCCCATTCGTTGAGCTTTTTGACTCTAAGCTCCGGCCCTGGAAGGCTCGGCAGTGAGGGAGTCCTTCATCCTTCCCTCGGGTTGCGCAGGCCCCTTTGTAGCGGTTTCCCTTTGGTACGCATCGGCTTGGAAAGAGGATTGCTTCTTTTTGGCACAGCCCAGTCTGAGAAAATAGCCTTCCTGTTTTCTCCCGAAGAGTTCCTGAAATGGCCCGGCAAAGCATGGCTCAAGTCATTTTGTGTTTTTGTTGGCTTGGACCATAGGGGGGCCAAGGACAGATGTGTTGTTTGTATGGCACCGGAGCCTTGTTGAGTACCTTCGGTTGCTTCCTTACTGTGGCTTAAAAGGATGGGTTGTCGGGTGTCAGTCGAACCCCCCCCCATCGGTTTTTTGAAGTGAGTCTGTTGGTTTGTTGGATACTTTCACATCGTTGCTGGGAACCATTTTACATTATTGCTTATTGTGGTTCAGTGGGAAATCCCCACTTAACTGCCACAATTTAAGTTTGTGCTCCCTTCCAACGTCAAGCAAGTTCAGCTGCTTCCGTTTGGGGGTTTCAGAAGACCCGAGGAGGAGGAGGCGCTGAGCCCCAACGTCGTGACCTTCAACGCGAGCATGGCCTGTGACTGGCGCCAAGCCTTGGAGCACCTAGAGCCTCGATCTGGTCCAGAGTGGCCTTCGGCAGTCCAGGGAGGGTCGTAGCCTTGCCGGTGCCATAGGCAGAATGAGAAATGGAATGAGCCCCTATAAACCATCCCTTGCTGGTGGTTGAGGGAATGCCCCCCTATAAACCATCCCCTATGGTCCCCTTTAGGGGAATGAGAAATGGAATGACTCCTATATAAACCATCCCTTGGTGGTTTCCTTTAAGGGAATCTCCAGCTTCAATCTGTCATTCCCTACCTATCGCACCGTGCGACTCTTTGTGAGTGGCCAAGGTTGTGGGGATGGGAATCAACCTTTTTAACCCATGACCAGTAGACAAGAACCACATCCACGCGGGGGGGGGGGGGGGTCACCCATGACCATTTGGGGGGGAGGGGGGCCTGGCAACGCTGTACCATATGTATATATATATATACCTATGAACATGTGCATGTGTGTTTCATGAACGCCCAGGACGCTCTGCAGAGCAAAGACTTGGAGCCGGACCTCATCAGCCTGAACTGCGCCATGGTCCCCATGCGCTCCGCCTGGCCTGTGGCCCTCAGCCTGTTGGCGCACGCCAACGCAATGCAGCCGCAGGACCTCAGTGCCCTGGCTTTTTTTAAGCAAGCGGACCACGGGCGAGCGTTTTCTTTTTTTTTCTTTTTCTTTTGCTTCCCGAGTTTCTGGACTTTTTACTTTTTGGGTCTGGACCATTGTAGTGGCCAACAAAATGTTCGGCCTGTTTTTGGAGCATCCACTCGGGAAGTTACTTGGGGCGCAGAGCTAGTTAGAGTTTGTTGAAAGATTGTTTGTTTGTTCAATCAACCGGTTTTGAGGATATGTGTCTCTCTGTGTTTTGTTTTGGACTTGGGCCTCAGCTAACTTTTCACCATGGCTAGCATGGGAAACCACGGTTTTACGGTCATTTTCCGTACCAAGGTAACCCTAAATTTTAGATGGAGTCATGGTTGGATGGTCTGCAGTGGTTGTTCCGGGGTCATGTCCAAGGCTTCAACTGCGCGCTTGGGTGTTTGCCGAGCTATGCCTGGCTGAGTGCTGTGGGCCTGCTGGGATCTATGGGGCGCATGGTGCTACAACCCAACGAGCTCACCCTCACGGGCGTGGTGAATGCATGTGAGGTGCGTTTGCTTTTGCTTTTTTTTCCCACGGAAGGGGGGTGACGAGTGACTAAATTGGATTGGAAGTTTGCCATAGGTCCGCACAAAAACGAACGAACAATTATGCAAATCGCACTTTTGGCCTTCTGGCAAATGAAGGACTGTTGGTTTCATTCTCCCTGGACTGTTGGTTTCATTCTCCCTGGGTTCTATGCTGAAGCACAATAGGAACCTAGCCTCGAGAATTTTCTGGGTAACTTGCAGGGTCGTTCCATTTAAGAGGAGAATCTGGATCACTTGTTTGAGAAACACCTCCTTGTGCATCTAACAGATTGATGAATTCAGGGGTATAAGGATACGTATTACCTAATTTGACCTTTGATGGACGCAGGGTAAGCTGAGGTTTAAGCATGACCGTGTGGCCCTGAGGGAAGGGCCGCGAAGCCTTGTGTGCAGCTTCTTCACTGCTTGAACGCACGACTCCTGTGAGAGCCGGCGCATCGATCCGGCTGTTTGACCGACATGGGTGGGGCATTCTTCCGAAACCCCGGGAGGAGGGAGTTTGGTCCAGTCCAAGTCACCAGCTGTTGTAAGGGGCAACGAACTTTGCAGCATTTGTTAGATTGCCGGCGGCCTCCCATAGATAAAGCTAGATAGATGGATGCATGAAATACATACGCACTGCGCTACATTGCGTTGCATTACATTGTTACATTACACTTCGTTGCCTTACGTTACAATGCGTTAGGTTACATGGCCTTGCATCACAGTACGCAGCATTCCGTTACGTTGCATTGGGTTGCGTTACACTACATTACGTAACGTTACATTACATATTCGTACATACACATATGCATGGGATATGCAGGCTTCAGCATGTGACAAGGTGCCCTAGGGAGTGGCGTTGTGGGTCATCAATGTCTAGCGCCGTTTTTTGAGTAGATAGTTCAACCGCTGGATCTTGTCCAGGGGCGTTGGCCGGCTAGGTACTGGCAGGTACCCAACATGTGTCAAAACGCTGTGGATGGTCGAACTCTTGCACCACTTTGAAACCATAGGGAACCATTGTTTGTTGGCATTTAGGGGAACAGGATTTCATCCATCCACAATAGGGTGACCCCGTAAACAATTTGCTTGTTCCTTGTGGGTTTGTAAACCAACCTGAGAAATGTATCGTCCCCGCAGACGCGCCCAAATGATCACAGATTCGAAGTAAGCTGAAGCCGGTGCCCTCTTCTGCAGCCATGCAAGCCTTACCGGACAACCGGATTCGGGGCTCGTTCCCATTTTTGTTTGCACGTTCCGGCGAGATGTTCCCACATAGGTTGTGTTGAAACAGCACCTTTTGGAAAGGCCTCTTCTAAGTGAGCTTCCTTTTGGAGTTTTTTGGTTGGACATGTGCAGAACCCATGCACTTCCGGGATTAGCGTTAAAGACATGTGCAGAACCCATGCACGTCTGGGACGAGCGTTAACGTTTTAAAGGGCTTCCCACAACAACGCGTTGGTTTCAATATGGACAGTGTCGCTGTTTGGTGTCCATGTGCTTTTTCGGCATGTGCGGTGCCTTTAGTTCAGCCCTGCCCTGTCTCAAAAAACCATTCATAGATGTTCCCCCAAATGTGAAAGATCCCCACCAGCATCAACATCAACCAGGAAGTCTTGAATCACTCATTTCCGGAGCGGTGTTTCAGCAACAGACAGCAGCTTGAGACTTTTGTTGACTTGTGTTTAGCCAATCCGCCCAAGTCAGGTCATGATCCTAGGTTGCCGTGGTCAAATCACAAGCAGCCAATCGGTGAAAACGCCCGTTGGCTGCTTGTGATTAAGCCCGGGTCAAACCATGCGGTGTCATGGCACGCATGGCGCATGCGTTCGCAGGCAGGGTTGGACATCATACTGTCCAGGCCCGTTTCCACTGCCTTCAAAACGAAGATACCCCCAGAGGAAAGTGGTGTGTATGCATTTTGTATAGTGGCTTCATAGTCGCTGTATATCTATCCCATAGAACCCCCGGATTGGTAGTGGTTTGGGGGTAGTGGAAGCCATCTTGGGTCGTTTGAGTCGTAGACCTTTGGCCAATCCACTGAGGAAGGGAGCTGCGGATGAACAACAAATCAACTTTTTGTACCATTTGGTGTGTGGTTTAGCTCTTGACTGCTGTTGGATCTTTAGACTTTAACTCTTTGTGGAATAAACATGTTTTCCACTAAACCCCCGAAAAGTTATATTTTTGCAGTGGGGTCAAAAGCAACCAAGGTTTACGGAACTATTGAGAAGGTTTCGTCTGGTTAAATGTCCACAACACGTCTTGGGAGGAGCAATTCCGTTGCGGCCAATTTGCGTAGGAGCTGAGGAGGTCATGCATGGAGGTGAGCAGGTGGGTTATCAGCAACTGCTACGATTCAGTCAGTATGTTCAAGCACTAGTTGTTTAATCGCATGGTTGTCAGGGCCCCAATAATTATCCAGAAGAGGACTTTAAGTGCAAGCTGTTCCATGTGGCGTTTCAGCAACCAACCCTGCGGGCGTGAACGAATTCCAAAAAAGGCCCTCGAATTATGCACTCTTGGCCGCCCACTTTGCGCGCATGAAAAAGGCTGCGGGGCACTGGTGGGGGCCAGGGTGTGGCTCTTTCGACTGGTGGCGAAGTTGGGGTTCGGATTCGGCCCATTTCCTGTGATACCAAAGCAGTATCACAGTTGTTTTGTTCGCAAATATGAGCCTTTTTGCTGGGCAAACGTTTGGTACCATTTTACATGTTTGCCGTTGACCTGCATGGTGGAAAGGATTCAATTCCTTGCGTTAAGATTGAACGTTTCCAAGAATTGACTCCCTTTCAGACTGAAAATAGAGGCCCCCCATTTTTGTTTGGCTACAAATGGGTAAACGTTTGCCGGGGACGTCGTTCCACTCAGCTACTCATTACAGGCGCTTGTTGGGACTTTTGGAGCATTCACGGCCGGCGGGTCTTTCTGTTTTCTGAAGGAGTGACCGACTGGATGCTGTGTTTGCCCTAGAGTAGCCAATAACTGACTGGCTTTTAGGGAAATGGCAAGTGGGCGCCGGCCACATAAGCGGCTCCTATGTGTAGTGCTGTTCCGATAAGGGGGGTTGGATCAAAATTGGCCAACACTCAATTTTGAACTGCACAGTTTGCCTGCACGTTTGTATTTGTTGTTTGTGTGCCACCCAGTGTTTGTGCTTACATGACAAGAAAACACGTGGTTTCGCAGATTTATCGGCTGAGGGCTGGCGATGCTGGGTTTCTCATGTTTCCTTTTTTTGGAACCTCCAAAAGTTGCAGTTGCGATGGAAAGACATTTGCAGCCTTTGAAGGGGAAATCCGAGTGGATTCATCAGCTGAAGGTGTGCGTTGTTCCTGGCAAAGTGTTCTTCTTTGAATCAGTTCCTTGTTCAACAGGTACAGCAGAAGGATAGACAACGCTGCCGCTTTGGAAGGAAAGTGAGGGATAGATGGGCAAAACTTCGTGTGAGTGTGTCTCAGACTTCCTTTTTCCAGCCTGAACTCGGTAACCAGACCGAGGTTTTCTGGGTGGTTCTTGTTCTAGGTGGTTCTAGTTTTCATGCGTCCTCCTCGCTTGGCCAAGGCGCACCGCTGGCCGGGCAAGCACCCGGACTCCGCCACGGTGGCTCCGGGGCTGGGTTTGTGGCTCTACCCCCCCATGGCGCCTTGGAGTGAAGGGACCGGGAGGAAGCTGTTATGGGTTCCATCGAGAGTTTTTGTTGCTTTGCTTCGAACCCTGAACAAAAACAGCTCTGTGCAAGAACCTTTCCACAAACGGTTTGCCTCTCCTCCTGTGCAAAAAAACGGGTCTGTGCCAAACGGCCCAAAGCTCTCATCCCTTTCTATTGCCTTCTGAACCGACAAGCTGGTTCAGAGCCTTTTTTCCCGCAAGGGGAGACATGCGGTTCTGGCGCATTGTCCTTGATGGTCACCATTCGTCACCAGCCGCGACTGATGGTCACCTCACTTCCTGGATTCCTGTACTATTTTTTTGGGGGGGAGGACCATTTGAGTGGTACATACAAAGTTCCAAGCTTTTTTTGGCCCATCCACTCAGGAACTGAGTCACTCTGAGGTTGTAAATCAGCATAGCATGTTTGTTTCACCCGACCTGGGTCCAAGTAGCTCAGGATGTGCTTTGAGGGGCACACAAGGGTCCAGGCTTTGGATTTGTATTGAAGCTATACCTCACAATCATCATAACTAAGCTGGATAATTCAGATTAAATTTTGGGTGGAGCAAACGCCCCTTGCTCTATCACAGTGCATTTTACTCAATAGGACTTGTTTTATTTTTCTTGCAGAAACGCTGGTGCATTCGGGTCAGCGTTTGGTATGAGACGTTCTTGCCGTTGACTATCGTGTTGGTTGTGAACTCTGGCTTTAAGCTGGAGCGATGACCAAAGGTGTTGGCATCCTGGCACGATTTGTCCCTGTTCAGTGGTCAGATTATTTGGCAACTGGACGAAAGAAATAGCATGAATTCACCCTTTTCTACGTTTTCACGCCTTCAACTCAGTTACGCTTAATCCCTTGGACAAGTTTCATGAATTCTATCTCGAGCTTCTTTGCAAGACGACCGGTTGACTTTGACGAACTTGAAACTTGTTGTCCGTGGCTCTCGTCTTTGTTTGGAGCCGCTTTGTAGGGAGTCCCTTTCTTTTCGCGCAAAGGGACGACGAAAGGCACAGGCCCCCTTCCTTCATTTTTTTTGGCGCCAGTGGTATGGCTATGCACCCTTGACCGCCAGCAGTGGATGTCAGTGAATGAGATCTTTAGACATACTGCCACTAAGACAGTAGTCCAACAGGCGACTGTTAGTGCTTGCGAACCCGAGGCTTAGCTCAGTTAATCCAGTTGAAATTAAACCAACAGCTGCAACATAGACATTACACATGGGCGCACATGCGGATTCTTACACTCTGCCTTTGCCACAAAAGGCGTGACACGGCTTAGTTCAGAAAGGACGGTGGCAGTTTCAACTCTTTGAGAGATCCGCGGCCCAAGGTGAATCATGCGATAGAGTCGGACGGCATGTCAGGGCCTCAGGGCCGCATTCACTTTATGCTTGCAAAGCCTGTTTGCGAGCCGGAGGAGTATGAATACCAGCATGACCGCCAGAAATCAAGAATGGCCTGGAAGCCACCCAAAGCAAACATCCAAGCAATATTGTTTGTGGCTCGTATGATTGCAGGATCTTGTCCAAGACAGATCTTACAGCGTCGTTTTGCACTAGATCGGATTGGCAAGAGAACAGTGCTGGTTTTGAAAGCCCGGCCCCTTGTTTCGTTGTCTGGATTTACTCACTTGCTCATATCCACCTGGGAGCTGCCAACACTTTCCAAGACGGACTTTTGTCAACACAAGTCCGGTCCTCCGGATTTGGACACAGCACCACTTTGACACGAACCAACTAGCCTGAGATGCTTCAGTGGCATCCGGCCGCATGGCCATGTGATCCAATCCTTGCCGCCTCCGGTAGCGCCCACGCCTTTGGACGAATGGGGGAGTCTCCCGAAAAACATCAAGAGG